GTGTTTAAAAAATCTATTAAGGATATACTACTTCATGTTCTCCACCCAATTATTCTGTAATGGAACCTGCATGGACGCTAATCTCAAAAACAGCTCTAAGTTAAAATGATTTTCCAAGAAATTGAACAGTTGATGTTTATTGCTGGCCACATGGGGAAAACTCTAGTTTGAACGTTATACTTTTTCAAAGTAAAAAATAAATAAATGTAAATCTGGCTTGAGTACTAAACTTAGATCTAGAGCCAACATTGGGTTTGAAAGGACTATCACATTCTGGAATTTCCAAATGTAAGGCATTACTGATTCAAGAGTTTAAGAAATTAATGTTCAGGAAAATTGTGTGCATCATCTTCTAAGTTAAGATTTAAAGGCCTATCATTAGAATTATTTAATAATAATTTTAAAAAACATGGTGTAGTCAGCCGTAGTGTTCCAATATTATGCGATAACTGAGTAAATCTAAAGTTGTTTCACAGACATTTGTTAAGCAAGACACTTTGTGGCTTATTATGTGCATAGCCATTATTTTAAAAAAAGATTTGTATATACCCAGTAATTATATAAATATATATATATATTTTTGTATAGTCCAGTGCGACCTAAATTGATGGATTGGTCTCGTCTGTATCCTGAACATTTCCCACAGTTGGATGATAAAATAGTAAATTGGGATGCAGGAGATTACTTACCTAAACAAGTTGAGTTTGCTGATGTAGGCTGCGGCTATGGAGGATTATTAGGTAAATAATGATATATATATATATAAGCTCATAGATTTCATTCAAGACCTCTTTTTCTAGTTAGGTGATTTTTTACTTATATTGGAGTCTTTAAATAGATCATGAGCGTAGAAAATTGTCATGAAAGAACACATTTAGAGTTGCATATTATTATTTGTGTATATATTTGGTCTGTCTAGTTGCTGGATGTTTTAAAGTAAATCCTCTCTGGTAGAGCACATGCCAGAATGAATATATATTGATTTTAATTCTTCCCTGGCAAAAGCTTGGATAAAAGGTCTTTCTTCTGGCAACACTTAATTCTGTCCATTGCTTCCCTTTCCTTATGGGCAGATTCCTTTCTCTCTAGTTAAAGTTCTTAACAAATTCCTTTTAATGAATGACCATTGTATCTGTATCTGTTTTAATCTAACTCAATATCTTTTTTCTTTTTTGATTGACCAATTATTTTGGGCAAGCCCCTTCCCTAATTTCTTAATTTTTATCAAAAGTAGTTTTAATCACTTCAAATTCCCACTTCTTTTATCCAGTTTTTGATATTGGCTCTTTCCATGTCTGTGGCACCTTAAAAAAAAAAAGGTTTGGTTTTGGGAAGGAGGGGGGAGGGTTATTTTGTTTTAATTGTAATTTAAGTTGACTAATTACTTTATGTGCATTCAGTTCTCTACCAATATCCCTTCCCTCTAGTTGCCTTATCTCCCTTGTTCCCCCAAACCCTTATGCTGGGGATGGAAATAAGGATCAAGGTCTGTGACTATGTTCAGAAGAGGATAGAAGCATTACGCCTTCAACACCCTGGCCAGTATGACAACATAGCCTGCCTGAGATCCAACGCCATGAAATATTTGCCAAATTATTTCAAAAAAGGACAGGTTGGTGAATATTCAATTTTTTTTTTGTGTGTCCAATTGTTTCTTACTTAAGTAAGTACATTATAGACTTTCCTTCAAGACTATTAGGTCCTTGAGACAGGTGATGTCAAATAATATGCTTTTTTGATGGTATCACATGACCAGTAATTGGCTTTTATCTTGTGCTTATGGTTAGAGTTTCACATCAACAGCCTTGAACTGCTGTCCTACCGCATCATTGAACTGGTGTCCTACCGCATCATTGAACTGCTGTCCTACCACATCATTGAACTGGTGTCCTACCACATCATTGAACTGCTGTCCTACCACGTCATGTAATATTTGTGTTTTCACCAGACATTATTGTGTCATAGTTCTTTCCAAAGCTCCACCTCTGTGACAGAAGAAAAGTTGAATACATCCTCTGTGACAGAAGATAAGCTGAGTCAGATTCTCTGTAACAGAAGATAAGCTGAGTCACATTCTCTGTGACAGAAGATAAGCTGAATCACATTCTCTGTGTACTGTACAAGAAGATGGCTTTGAGTTCAATATTTATTTCATTTTTTGTGTGTCTATGCTAGGGCGCCTTTGTCACAAGTCTGTCTAAAGTCATTGATACATTTTTTGTTTCTTAAATAGAGAAACAGTGCAATAAACTGAGGGGAAAAAATTACTATTATGCAGTTTTCTAATAGATGGAATTATTCAGGCTATTATCTTGTAATATGGAACTAACAGGACAGTTTTATTATTAATAATTTAAGGTTTTAGGTTAGTTTTGCTGTGACACTGATTGTCAGAATTATAATAGAAATGAACTATGACATTTAATCAACAAGAATGTTTTTCATTAAAAGATCATATGACAAAATTCTTCCCAGTGTGATTGATAAATCACTCTAGTGTGATAGTCAATATAGTGTGGCTGATACGTCACTCCAGTGTGATTGATAAGTCAACACAGTGTGATTGGTAAGTCCCTCAATTGTGATTGATAAGTCCCTCAAGTGTGACTTGTTATTTGCCTATTTTCAGTTGACCAAGATGTTCTTCCTGTTTCCTGATCCACACTTCAAAAAAGCCAAACACAAGTGGAGGATTGTCAATCAAACTTTACTGGCTGAATATGCTTATGTTCTCAGAGACGGGGTAAACTTTCCTTTTTTTGTTTTTTTAAATTAATCATCAAAATGTTTTTAGTGACTTTGGAACAGCTACACTTAGAAAATAGCAGTATTGACTTGGTTCAACCACAGTGAAAAACTTAAAATGCAATCATACATTTTAAAATGTAATTAAAGATTCTTTTTTTTTTCTTTCTATATTTGTATTCATTAACTGAACAGTTTCATTACAAGTAGTGTTTTTTTTTATGTTTCATTCCCCTTCACTTTGTCTATACTTTAAATAAATTAGTTTTTAGTGGGTCCTGAAAACATGGCGGGACACACTAAGTTTGCAATACTTTAAGATGTAATGTTTGTGGAGGTGCAAATCACACACTTATGTTCTTGTTTCTAGCAAGTGGTAATCAAAGCTGTAGCAAATTTAAAAAGAAAGGGATTGTAAGTTGGTCCTAGAATGTAAGGTTTAGTGTATATTCCAATAAATAAATAACTAGAATTCAACATAGGCCAGTGAGACATACTCTGGACAGAGACAAGTTTAACTTCTATTCAGCTTTTCAATTAGCATGTATTCAATTTAGTGAACTAGTTACATTAGGATGTTTCAGTATAAATGGCAGTTATTAACTGGCAACATTTTTTTTTAGGTGCTGTAGTGACCTAACCTAGACATTTGCTATTTAAAAAAAAAAAAAAAAACTGCAACTATTACTTTGCAGTGTTAGAAAAGGTAAACAAAAGTAGCTTGTAACATCACAGCAAATGACAATAGAAAGGTCTTGTGTAGATAGACATTATTAGTTCTTGTGGAAAGTGTGAATATAAAGGTCTTGTATAGATAAAAACATTTTGGGATGTCTTAATGTGCTTTAATATGTATATAGACATTTCCAGTTCTCATGGTTCATTTACTTAGGCTAACCATGATTTCAATATATGTAATTCTTACTATCTTATCTTATCTTATATAATACAGACGTTACTTCAAAAAAGAAGATGATTACGTCCTATGCGTCATGCATTTAGTCATGCGTATTAACCAATGACTTAAATTCTGCCAAGTCACTGGTTTTTCTGGCTAGCTCAGGCAACCCATTCCATGCTCTAATAGCACTAGGGATGAAGGAGTATTTGTACAAATTTGTCCTAGCATAGGGGACGAGGAATGTGCCTTTATTTTTGTGTCTTTCAGAGTATTTTATTAAGTTTTGTTTTTGTATTTGAAGATTATGGTTCAGTGTTTTATGTATAATTGCTACTTTACTTTTGAGTCTTCTGTCCTGAAGGCTTTCTAAATTTAGTGATTTTACTAATGGTGTTACTCTAGTCAAATGTGAATATTCGTTTGTTATGAATCTCACTGCTCTATTTTGTGTTTGTTCCAGTACTAATGTGATTTTTTTTTTTGGATTTGTGAATTAAAGTATTTATAATCTATATTCTTGGATATTTTTCTGCGCATTGTTAATTTGTGAGTTTCATGTTTAGGGGAAAATAAAGAATCTTCTAAAATCTTTTGTGGCAACATAGGCATCTTTCTGTTATAGTTTTAGATGTACACTTGTTTTGCTCAATGTAGTGTCATTAATATGATGGCCTGTATTACTTTCGTAGAGTATATAAGAAATGGGGTGGATGCTTTATGTACAAGTAATTTTGGAATGGTCTTTAGCTTCAGACAAGTACATTAAAAAAAATTAAGTATGCAGCTTATTTGAACTCTATAATACCAGCAGTGATGTGAATATTGTTACTTTTGATCCACAGGGTTTAGTCTATACAGTCACTGATGTGAAAGATCTACATGACTGGATGGTTGACCACTTTACACATTTTCCTTTATTCCGTCGAGTGGAAGAGAATGAGTTGGTAAGTACACGAATTGAAGACTCCTGCTTCCTGTTTAAGAAATCGTGTTATTTCATTAGAGAGGCCATGGAACATAGGTCAACTGTGTGAGAGTAAGATGAAAGAGTATAGGAGGAGGCCCTAATGTAATCTTTTATTGGCTCTGTTGTCCACAGAGTGGTGACATAGTAGTTGATAAAATCTACAACAGTACAGAAGAAGGTCAAAAAGTCACAAGAAATAAAGGACAGAAATGGCTGGCTGTGTTTAGAAAGATTCCTTATATACCACAGTCTTGATGGTAGCCTTACATAATCTTGTTTGTAAGTCTGGGTAGTGACTGTGTTGGCTGGCTGTGTTTAGAAAGATTCCTTATATACCAGTCTTGACATGTAAAGTGTTATATGAATCAAAACAATACAATACAAACATATGATACTGAAAGTTTATTTTGTTTCTATGAGAAAGAGAGCATATATGTGGAATGACAGTCACATTCATTGTTATACCCAAACAAACAAACAAAAGTGTGTGCCATTGCATAACAGAAACTATTGCAGCTTTCATTGGAGTTGATCAGCACACACAGATATATATATATATATACACATTAGTTGAAACAGACCAGAAAGTCAAATACTTCCAACTGTAAAAGCAAACTATTCTAGCATCATCAAGTTTCAGTGTTGAATTCAAATGTTGAACAAATCCAAAGTACACAGTTCAAAATGTTTTTTTTAGAACAAGGAATACACATTTGAACAAAAGTCAAAACAATAGTCAAATTATATACTGGTAAATATATATGTGTGTGGCCTAAAGCAAAACTAGATCTGTGTCGACTATGCCTATCAATAATACAAGACTAATTGTAACAAAGAAAATGAAAAGGTAAAAAGAAAAGAAAAAAAACAGCTGCAGAAAACAATAGAGCCAATATAATTTTCTAGGTACAGCTGGAATTGAATATAGCTTTAGTTTGAATTGACCACAGCTAAATAGCACAAAACTAGAATTGAATACAGCTTTAAGTTTGAATTGAGCACAGCTAAATAACACAAAACTAGAATACAGTTTAGTTTGAATTGACCACAGCTAAATAACATATAACACATCATCTCACCCAACTGGACATATGTAGCTGTGGTATTGCCAGACAAAAACTAGTCACATGGAAATGTTCAATTAAGACTTTCTCAGTCCCTTAGATTGCATTAACATTTTTTTTTTAAGCTTTGATTCAAAGGGAAGAAAAACACAGGCCAGAATTGAAAAAATGCTTAGAAATAAGACAAAAATTCTCCAAATCATTGGGCAGGTGTTGTCAAGCTGTGACACTTTTTACTTTGGTGGATCTTGGGCTTCAAGCACATGCCAAAAGTGCCCCAACACCAAACAGCTGACAGCCATGTGCTCAAACACAAATACATTGGTCATTTTAAAAAAAGGGGGGGGGGAAGGGAAAGGGGAGGATGTATGGAAATGTGCCACTGGCAAACTGAATGCTCAGGGTTCAAATCTTAACACCTTAACTCAGTGTGAGCATTTCAGTGTTCCTGTTTTCCTAGAAACTTTTGTTTTGAATTTGAAATACCAGCTACCCAGTCCACATACACACTAGGACCACACTTTTGTAACAAAAGGGAGATAAATTTTTGGCTGATAAAGATAAAACAATGGTGGTAGCAGCTAAGTGCTGACAAAAAAAACAACACACACAATGACAAGAAAATGCAGCTACTCAATCAGAAGGCGGCATCATTGCATTATGGGATATCCTGTGTCCATGCTCTACCTCCTTCAGAAAAAAAAAAAGTGGTTCTTGAAACAGAAAGGTATATATATATATAAATGATCAACATAGATGATCAGGACAAGAGATCCCATCTGGCACTTCTAATGGATTGAATGAAACTTACAGCTTTGTAAAAGTAAAAACACATTCACAATTTGGAAGTTATTTTTTTGGTAACCAAAATATCTTTTGTTAGATTTCTATTACAACCTCTGTATTTGGTACACTTCCTTGGGAGAGAAACAATAATATAAAAGGTGTATCTTTTTTTTCTTTCAATTTTTTAAATAAAAATAAAGAAGTAAGATGATTTGAAGGGACAAACACTAAAAACTTTATTTCATTACAATTTCAAAGGTTGCTGCTTGTTGAATTCCTTTAGAAAAATACATAATGATATATTCTATTAAAAAAACAACAACAGCCTTGGCTTACAAAGAGAAAGCTGTATAGAAAATGTCAAGGTCACTTACTAAAACTTCACTTCCAAAGAATAGATAAATATTTAATAGCTCATACAACACCGAGTAAGTGAAAACTTCAAACTATTTATAAAAACAAACAAACTCTGCTGAACTATCCAATAGTTTTGACTGGTAGCAACAAATAAATAAAACTCCTACCAATGCCTCAGCTTTAGATTAACACATGACAAGTATGTTCCTAATCAGAGCAACCTTTTAACAGTTCTAATATTTCCCAATGAGCTGATGATGATGATGACCTACTTCTGTGGATGACTTGGCGCTGATGACTAATCACACCTAATCACACCAAGCTCAAGACTTCTGCATGGTGCTGGTGATTCTAAAGTATTGGACAAACTTAAACACCAGACCTACGATAAAGAACCACAAGTTGCGAGCAAACTGCGACTTAGCGATGAGCACACGCCAAAGGATGATGGCCACAGTGGAGTTGAATACATAGCGTATGATCCTCAGCCTGATTGGTTGAAATATTTGAAAAACTTAATGTGATTAAATTCAATCAAAAAATTTAATAAAATTTAAAATTCTAAACTAATTTTTTATATTTATATTTATTTCAATGTATATGAAACATAATCCATAACAATTTCAAAAAAAACATAGCTTAGGCATCATTGAATATTATCATTCAAACATCAGATTTTCTTTTTAGAAACGTTGGTGCATGTAACAAAGATGAATGCTGAAGAAACTTGATAATAAGACTTACTTTCTGATATGAGCTCGTGCAGCCGGTAGACCTGAGATGTCCTCATTTAACACATACTTCTTAGCACCGAGGCAGTAATTCTCTATGTATGTAGGCCAGTGAAGAGGTAGTGGATCAAAGTAGAATGTCTACGATTGAACAAAGGAATGAATTAGCTCTACTGAGTGGAGTTGTTCTGAATCTCTGACCTACTTTAAATTAAGTCATGTGGTTAGTGTCTTGTACATGACAACAATGGCAATGTCTTTCTATGAAAAGATGCACTTTTATTACCTAAAGATGTCTAGATCTAGAGTATTTTCATATTCGAATTACAATGAAATCAATGCAGCCATTCATGTAAAAACACTAGCACGTGACATGAAACAATCCTATTAGAAAACATCTGTTGGAGAAATAGTGTGTGGTCATACAATGCAGCCCTAACCACAGGCAACAGTAACTGACATAGCTCGTGGTCTTAAAACGAATTTGTTATGTTATAAATGCTTTACCAGAGATGACTAACTCACTTTCAAGTCTGCAGGACACAACTGATGTTTTAACATATCATGGTTAGAATTGGCCCACTGCCACTCGTTGCTGGTGAAGAATTTTAAACTTTCAATGGAACGATGCAGACGGTTGTACAGCTTCACCATCCTGGAAAAATAAACGAGAATATTGTCGTGATATTTTTTGGCAAGGTTTTAGAATGAAGGTATTTTCGTAACATTTGGAAGCTTTTGTCAACTAGTCTATGTCTTTAAACTAATACATTTAAGAACAGTAGGAGCATCAAAGCCAGCAGTTTATTTCTATGGAATGATCAACTAGAGCTGAATATTGCAAAGACCTTTTTTGAACAACAAACAAATTATTGTTCTACAAGTTTTTTGTTAAAATGTATCAAACAAGTTTGTGAACAATAAATAATTTGTATGGTTAAAATATGAATATTTGCATGGTTCATGACAAGAAAAAAAAAGCTTTTAAACAAATTATTCCTGATGTGATTGTCATCAACATTTTTTTGTGTCTGTAGAGTTCAGCCTTCTGCCTGGCTTTTTGAACCAAGGGATCTTGGGTTTGAATCCTGATGAAGACTGGGATTTTGAATTTCAGGATTTTTAGGATGCCCCAGAGTCTACCAACTCTAATGGATACCTTCAGTGAAGTCCAGTAGGGCGTCGGCGCCGTAGGCGCCATTATCTCATTGATGGTTAGAAAGGCTTTTATCCAACCACCAGGCATGGACATGGGGCTCTTCACCCATGTCCTGTCTGAGGGCACCCAACAGTAGGCGGCCATATCGGTTGACTGGGCAAAAACGGGCCGTGCCGTGTACACAGCGCACCATCCCCGGTCCTGGGTCCACTCACTAGAAGTGGCCGAGAACAGTGCTGTCTGCGGGGAGCTTGTCTCATTCCTATACTGTAACCGCCACTATTCTGTGCAGGGACCGCCACTCCAGCTCATGGGACACTGATGACGGCCCCCATGTGGAACGGCGTGGCGGACTTTTTGGACTGGGTTCCGGGCGTTCTTTCCATCCCAACCCCGAGTGAGAGAAAAATAACAAAAGCTCACCCAGGGAAGCCCGGCTGGGCCTGGTTCGCTACTCGTACTTAGCTTATCTAGTCTCCACCCACTAGACGTTTCCACCGGAGGGCCACGCTGAGGCGACGGGTAGCTGGAATTCCTCCGGCTAATGGATGCCAGGCATTAGTTGGTTATTATGCTAGCCACATGACACTCTTGTAAACCGTCAGCCATTGAAACAGATGAGCTTTACATCACCTACCCTATAAATCGTTCTAAAAGGGGGTACTTTACTTGTTTTTATTCACAGAAGATAATCAGCTCCTACCACTTTCTGCCGTTTAGTAGTTGGTCTCATGTTTTGTATTTCATTCAGATAACAAAGTCGCTCAACAAGAACCAGCGTCATAAACCTACCTTGGCTTCTTGCCCATCAACCGGAAAGCAATGTCACAGATATATGCTGGGAACAGGTGACTTACACAGGTCCAGTAGTCATGCAGGAAACTGTTGTAGCAGGAAACATTAAGATTACAAGTGATGCAAAAACAACAACAACAATTAAATAAACTCTTGACAATAAAATATTTTCATATCCCAAGACAGACTCTGCATATAATACATTGCAGAAGTGAGGTGCAGTACAGATAATTCAAAATAATTCGCTAAAACTTCCTGCAATCAAAACATTGCTAAGATATAAAAAAGAAGGACATGGGAAAGGCTTAGAAACTAAGGTCTGGTAGGATGAATTGTTTGTTTATAAAATAGAATCAATGCATTCACATTTAAGAGCATGACACGAGCATGCTTGTTCTTGCATTAGAGATCTAATAAAAGTTTCAAGTCTTTATTTTCACTACGTTTCTGTGCCTTTAATAACAGACCAGCATCCCATTAGAGAATAACTAAAAACATACTGATTGGAACAAATACAACTTTCACATCCAACTGCCACATAGAAATCTTTAGCCCTGCATTTCTAGACCATTTCTATCTTTCACAAAAATCATAACAAAAAGAATGCTAAATAATGTAGAATCAGACAAGTTAAACCTTAATTCCAGCTTCTAACTTAATCATCAACTTAGTCACCAACTATTTGTCATTAACTTAGGTAAGACAAGAGATTCTAATAATTATTGCATTTCTAATGCTGGATTTGGTTCCACAATCATATAAAATCCTATTAGTTCAACTATTAATTGTTAATATATAAATAAAAATAAATAAATTTTAGCTTTTATATAGCGCTACTTTCATGCTTATAGCATTCTCAGAGCGCAATGGTCCAATCTCATTTGTGAACCTGGGGGAGGGGGGGTATTTGGAAGAAGATTTTCCTGTGCTGCCTTTAGTTGCTTAGTAAACACATCTCTGCTCGAGTCGGGTGTCAAACCTCGAGCCCCCTTCATAGATAGCCAAACCTAGTTAAGTTCAAGCGTACTTAGCCTCTCGACCACGCTTCCAAGAAAGTTGATTCTTTTGATTGTTGGAAACAAAACAAGAAAAACAAACCTGTTGCTAACTATTTGTACATTTGGGCGCCGGAAGCATCCTTCCAATGGTGTGTCTTTAAATGAC